TCTACTTTAGAGTATTTCTTTCATATATCTTCTCTAGGTGGTCTTTTTGAACAATTTAAGTTTAATATTTGATATGGTATAAGAGCATTTGACTGACGGGTCGGGTAGTCACGTGTTCTATTCTTCTTGATTGTCAATGTCAAAGTTTGATTTAAACACGCGGGATTATGAATTTGTGCAAATTTTTCAACCTCATTGGATAATTTTTGTTTGAGGGATGTGTCAGAAAATATATATATAAGGTTCGTTTTTGGATCACATCTAACAACTCGAATTATCGAAGTCAAATTATTTCTCGACAATTCTAACTCACAAGATAAATCGGATTGACATTATTATGATCGCATGTAATGCCAATCAGCATGCACTTACAGCTACACTCATCATCAGCATATATTCGCCGAAATATGGCCGAAGTTTCAATAGGGTCTTGTTCTTTGTACCAAAACTTCCAACCAGCTTTGACAAAAGTGAACCCACATGAGTCCCTCGTCGACTCCTGTTTCTCTCCCGAAGCCAAGTACCAAGTCGCCTGGTACAGTACTTTTGGCCGGGCGAATCATGGGTAGCTCCAAAAGTACTGTACATTATTATTGATTATGCGCCGTACCATAGTGCTTCCAACTTCCGCCCATTTTCCTCGTCTCACGGAAGACGAGTTGTTTGACCACTTATGGTTTAAAGTCTTTTGCTAATACAAACAACTTTTGGGTTTAATATAGTGGTAGTAATACATGGAGAAGTGAGTCGATTCTTGGAATTTGAGTTATGAGTAACTTGGAGAAGCCGCGAGATAAGAGAAGAATGACTTGTAAAATGTCGCGAGAGAATCCTCTTCAACAATCAAGTTAAATATGGGAATTGGTAAGAGATAAAAATTTAGAGACCAAAGAAGAGTTATCTATTAGGATGGAAATTATAAGAAAATGTTTATACCAAGAGTGTGGTGATTTGAGTTTTGCGGGCATTTTCTAAAGTACATCAATGATAAGAAATATGTTTTAAAATACATATTTTTCAGAGGAATTTTATAATGCTTTACTGCATTGGTATTTTAATTAAAAAAAACTAATATAATATAAATTAAATTTGTATTTTTAACGTCATAGTACAAATACAATTTATACATATATCTTCATGTACAAATTCGTTAATAGTCAGTGGTAGAGGCACTTGAAGAGGTGTGAGGTCCTAGGACTCCACTTGAAAAAATAATATGAATTAAATATGTGTAGGTACTTGTTGAATATCAGTATGTTAAGAACTGAAGATATTATTCTTACGAAATTTAACTGTTACCTAAATTATATACATGTAAATAAATAGCACTATGCCACTATCGATATGGTAAAATTCAAAACATCAATTTTCTTTCAATTAAGTTTAAAAGTTTATCATTCTACTAGATATAAAAAAAAATCTTCCAACTATAACTAGCTAGAAACACATTTTAACTCTAGCGTTTTGTTCTATTAATGTAAATTTTTTTGGTCAAATCCATTTTATAATTTGGCGAGGTTAGTCTATTTGCTTGTGAAACTAATGCATATTTTAACTAGTTATTGGAATGTCACTTTTCAACTATGATTTACAAGTGAAGTAAGTTATATAGTCTAATAACTAATTAATTGATGAGATGATTACTTGAACGGATATATTGAAGGGAATGTTTTTATAATTGAATACAAAATTTCTTTCATAAATGGGATGATTGGGTGATGTGTCTGTTTGTATCTATGTGGCCTCTTAACTCGTGAGTTGAGGAGATGTAGAGGGAGCGGTAGCTCATGACATGGGTGGTGCATAACTTGAAGAAATTCAAATTATTTCGGGGGTCGTTTTCGCTATTAGGTTTCGTTATGCTCTTAGGTATTTTAATAAGACTGGTCATTTAGTCACACAACAAGCTATTTCATCGATAGTTCAACTTTAGGTCAACTAGCGCATTTGATTATTCCAATATTTCTATTTCTACATTTGTGTATGATTAAAAAATAGGACCTCATTAAGCTTTAATCCCGAATACGCTATTGTTATAGTACAAACGAAATTTATACCTTCAATATTACATTACAATTTTAATTTGTATCTCAAAACATTATTACTCTATAGGACGACTCATTTCTTTATTATTATGATTATGTTTGAACTTCAAATCTTTTCTGTCACGTTTAATAATACAGTCAATGTATAGATATTTGTTCGGGCGCGCTGACTGGTAATTTACTAAATTTTTTTAACCATAAAAAAGTAAAGAATCATTGTGCTTTCCTTTCATTCCTTCTTTTGTACATTCACTTTCATCATGTCGTTTTCGGTGATTCTCCCTATTGGAGCGGAGGTGCGACAAATTTTATGTTCTATCATTTACGTCACAATCATGGAGGTCCAAAATGCTAAAAGGAAGAGGCAGAGGCCCTAAATCAAAACAAACAGAAAAGAAACTAAAAGGTGAAAGCCACAAATAAAAGAGTGAGCAACGAGAACCAGGGTTGTTGTTCCACCGTTTCATGTGTGGTCAGTGGTCACTTAAGCTGTAGCACATAACGGAAGCCCAATCCATAAAACAATGTATCCAGAGCCCAACCTCCCAGCCCTAGAAGTTGCTTCTCCTCTGCCTCCTCTTCAAAGATAGTTAGTAAATACTCCGTTTAATACACATATATGTACTCGTACGTATTTTATCCGTATAAAACTTCCGTATTCATATTATTGTAAACCCATTTTATATTTTTCTATTCATTTGATGACTTCTGTACTAAACACATATAAAACTCGTATAACACGTTTAATATTTGTATTTAATGAATTAAATTGTTAACTTTACAATTGTTTATATATTTATTTTTAAAATGATTAATTTTTTATATTTATGACTATTAACGTACTACTAAACGTAACATTAATTTAAAAACAAAGTAAGATATCCGTACGTATTTTATACATAACTTTTTCGTACCGTATTTTACTAACTATGCTCTGAAATCCTTTCCAACTTACTAATTGAATTGAATGGATTAAATGGTTGACAATCGAATTGTACGTTTGTGGAGATTTATACTAACTCAACGTTTCAGAAGGAAAGGTTGGGTTGCTTTTGGACGCTATTGATGGTTGTTCAAGAAAGTATGTTGGTTGGGACAACAACATAGTGGCTCATTTTATGGCTTGCAAGGCTATGATTTTATTGTCGCGAATATTAGCGTGATTTGACTTTGTTTCGTGGCTTTGTAGTATATACTATATAGGTTCTTATTGTAAATTTTTGACCTTTTACAATCCTCTTCTAAAGAGCGCTTGTAATGACCCAAAAAACCCCCCCAAAAAGAACAAAGAATACAAGGTTTGGCTTTTGGGTGCAGCATGTTAATACTGGACATGAATCTTCATGACTCCTCGAGCCTATTCCATCTTGCGATTAAGAATCTAGGAGCCTATCTTCCATTGATTTGTTTTTTCTTTTCATACATATTGGTTGAAGCAACACCAGAAAGCTCCCTTTGCATTTAGAGGTGGCAAATGGATTGGATTGGTGGATTGGATTGGTGGATCCATGGATTAAATGGATTGGATCTAATGGATTGGTGGATTCATGGATTGGATCAAGTGGATTGGTGGATTATCCATGAATCCAAATGACATCCTCAACCAAGGACCAATATGTAAAATGTAAAAAGTTTAGGTACTAAAATGTCATAATGAAAATTTTTAGGTACCAAAACGTAATTTTCCAATTATATTTTTCGTATAAAAAATTAAATTTTAGGTACCAAAATGTAAAAAATAAAAATTATAGGTACTAAACCGTAATTTGCCAATGATCCATGGATCCAATCCATGAATCCACCAATCCAATTGGATTTGGATAAAATGGATTGGATTTAAATGGATTGGATTAGGTGAATATTTTTAAGGGATTGATGGATTGGATTGGTGGATTGGATTAAAATTGCCACCTCTACTTGCATTCCATCCCATCCCATCCGTGTTCAGCTTCGATGATGACTGAACCATAAAGTATTGGTGCTTTAATGTACAACTTGAAGTTGTACTATAACATTAAATGTATAAGTTCACGTTGTACCATAAAGTAATTTGTACCCTTAAATTATGGTACAACTTTACAAGTTGAAGTTGTACCATCACATAAAGGTACAAGTTCAAGTTGTACCATAAAGAATATGTGCAAAACAGTGTAGGTATAATATAAAACTGTACCATAACATTGGATGAACAATTTCAAGTTGTATCATAAAGGTAAAACCTATAGCACCAATACTATATAGTATTGTAAAATTCCTCTTGACTTGAACTCAAATGGATTTCTATGCATTTTTAATGATTTTAAATTGAATCTAATTTGGATCGAGTCATTTGGATTAATCTTAAATGAGTCTATTTGAGTGCAGATGATAGAGCGCTTGTAACTTCTTTTCCTCTAACAGGCGTCCTCTGACCTATGCTTCGTGCACCTATAATACACCATTTTGCTAAGGATTCAAAACTTTAAAAACGGAGAGATATTTTGGGGCATAACAATGGTAGGATCTAACTATGGATAGCTCATGGAAGGTGGTAGATGCTTCGAGAGAAACCAAGACTCGGTTGGATTGTGAATTTTGTGATGCAAATGACTAAGCTGTAAAAGTAGGAAAATTGTCGAGCTATTTCAGAGACTTTGGATGTGTTTCTAATCATTGTGTCGTTTCGACAAAAAATCCTCGCGTTTATATATAGAAGAATGTAGCCCTAGCTAGCCAACAACTAAAACAAAATTATTAAAAGAAAATACAACCCAAAAAGTTATGTCGATTTCTTTAGTCTTACTCTTTCAGCCATTTACCACTTTACAAACCCTTCCATTATGTATTTATTGAAAGAATGATTGACGAGTTCTTCCATCCTCTAAAAAAATCAATTTAAGTTCCTACCCCTCTTAAATCTTACTAGTGATTTGTTGCTCGCCAGAATTAATAATTGGGTCGTTTAAAGAGAATGTAAACTAAAATTGTTATTTATTGGAGAAACGTCAGTAAAATCTAACTATGATATAGCTCATAGTAGGTGGCAGATGCTTTGAGAGAAACCCAAACTCGGTTGGATTGTGATTTTGGAATGCAAATAGCAAAGCTGTAAAAAGTACGAAAACTGTCGGACTATTATGTCTTCTTGGCTAAAAATCCTAGCTTATATATAGAACAATGTAGCTCTAGCCAACTGCTAAAACAATATTATTAAAAGAAAATACAACTAAAAACGTTATGTCTGTCGATTTTTTTTGTAGTATAGTGTTTCAGGCTTTCAGCCATTAACCCCACTTCATAACCCTTCCATTATGTGTTCCCAATCCCACCCATCTAACTGTGCATCTCCATCTTCAGTCGTTGATCCACCGGTTGCAGTCCCATTCTTTTCACCATGATCTCCCACTTCACCCCTGTCAGTTTCTTCCTCATCCCCGATTCTTGATCTCATCATTTTATCTTCAGTCAAATATTTCGCGCTGCTTTGTTCAGTGATTGAACTCTCTGTCTCACCACAAGCATCCTCTTCATCATGTTCAACCACGGCTGTTCCCAAAAAGTTCTCACCGATCATCTGCAAAGCCAAAATACCAGTACGTCTTACATAATGAAGTTTAGGGATAACAACTTTGCCCATACCCATGGGTTTCTTACTATCCAGTCCAATTGGGTTGGGTACGAAATCCAAATAGATGGATATGGGTAGAGTTTGATGGGTTTGTACCCATACCCATTTACTTTGGGTTGAGTTGGGTTTATATCAAATGGATTTGAGTTTGTATCCATGCCCAAATACAAATTACAGTTTGGTACCCAAACTTAATAGATATGCATATTTAGTACCTAAATTTAATTTTTTTTTGTATATAAGTCCTCAAAATATCGATGAAAGCAATATTCATACCTTACCCAAACGCATCTATAAACCCCAAAATCCATATGCACTTCACCCATACCCAACCCATTATTAATGGGTCTACTTGGGTTTGGGTATAATTACCCATTGGTGGGTAATCCATGGGTAATTTGTCATCCCTAGAGAAGTTTATAACCTAAAATATGTATAATTGACTGTAATAGTAAAGCTATATCGATATATAATGATCAGTGGCGAAGTCAGAAATTTGAAAAAAATGACTGATTTGAACCGTAATAATTAAGGGAAGGGGCTTAAACTGTATCGATTATTCTATTTTCTAAATTTAAAACTTTACATGCAAATTTAAAACTCAGCAAGTCAATTACCTGAGTCAAGTGAAGACCCACAAGGCAGGAGACGAGATTGGAAGCCTTGGAATCGGCAACCGATTGAGGAAGCCCCAACCGAACCATGGCAACGAACGATCTCAACGACGCGACCGAGTGCAGCAGAGCCAACGACGAGCTCGCTCCGTACACGATCGCGGCGTTCCACGCCGCTCCCAATGTCATCGCCGACAACAGCGCAACGGACTGCCACGCCACGTCCGGCGCCACCAAGCTCACTTTGTAGCTCTCCGCCGTGGACGTCAGCGATAACTTGCTCTCCTTCACCTACGTATTATCCACTCCAATTAATCAACACGAATTTTATAATGACGCGGATTAGGTTAATCATTAACTAATGATCTCGATTATCGATTACTCAATTACCTTTTTGGTTAGGATGGGGAGCAAAGCGGAGAGGGCGAGCATGTTCCCAACATCGGATAAAATCGTGAGCTCCACCGCCCACAGCAGCCTTCTCCCGGCGAGGAGGGCGGCGGCGAGGCCGGACACGGCGGAGGCGAGGCAGAGGATTGCGAGGTGTGCAGGCGGAGCGGTAAAGCCAGCGTTGAAATCAACCTATACACGTAATTAAAAGTTAAAAAACCCAGGATTACGAAGAGATTAATTAACTGATCATACGCTTAATTGAATGATTGATTAAGATTGAAGTTGGTACCTGGCCGCTCTGCTTCCTTCTATCCCATGAAACCTCCAGCCGCAACATTACGGAGAGCTCTTGAATCGATTCGATGACGAGAGACCGTTCGTCAGCAGGCGCAGGAGTCGTCTGGCTGTTGTTGTTGTTGTTGTTGAAAGATACCGCAATTAGTGGGATGCGGCGAAGGTGGGAAGATAAAAAACAGAGAGAGGGAAGTATGTGGACTGCTAGGAAACAGAATTAGAAGAGGAGAAGGACGTGTGTGTGCGTTGATTAATTACTTCGCAAGTTATCCTAGACGCCGGTTGGTTAGCGTGGTGAGGCATAGTCGTTTGGATTGGATGATTTGGGCTGAACCGTGTGCGTGTTGGGCTGGGGAAGAAGGTTGTGGGTTGAGGGAGTCGAAGCCCAACTCTCTCAGCCCAAATACCGGATGGTTTAAAGTTTTGGCGTTTTTACGTAATTAGAAGAAAAAAATATATTATGCGGTGAGCGTGGATCGAACACGCGACCTTCAGATCTTCAGTCTGACGCTCTCCCAACTGAGCTATCCCCGCAAGATATTTAATTTCACTCTGAGCATTTATTTATAAATCATGGTATCAGTCTTAGGTCAATATTCTATTACTTGAATTTTAATAAACTTGTTCATAGCTTCGGTTAACTTTTGCTTTACAAATACAACCGTTAAACAAAATTTTGGACATACCAAACACAAAATTTCATTTGACAATGAATTCTACGCGGTAATTCATTTTACAATGAAATGAATTCTCGATTCATTTGGTATGTCATATGTATAAGTAATTTAGTTAATTACTTAATTATGTCATTCTATTATAATTAGTAAATACTTGTGGAATTCATTTGGAAATTCCATCTCAATTAATCGGAATTGCTATAACTAGTTCCAATTCTATAGAATTCAAAATTTAGAATTGAAAATGAATTCTTTTAAATACCAAACACAAAAGTATTTCATTTTCAAATGAATTCCTCAAAACTTATGTAATTCATTTATACCAAACGGTATGTAACACTCCAAGTTAAGTTCAGTAGCTCAGTTGGAAAATATCCGTTTAGGCTTTTTAGCCCTTCCCAAGTACACCATGACTTCCTGGGACAGCCATCTGCCTAATGCATAAAATGGATGGTAGAGTTGGAGAATTTGATTCACTAATGATCCGAATCAGGAATAGAGATCTGTGGAGAAGTGTTATTTTTGAAGAAACGAATTTCTGTTATGGGAACTATATTCTATATTTATAAAATATCCAGAGATTCACGCGTAGAGCTAGAGGCCAAAAATTATGATCCCCTACCTTCTAAACTCTCCAAGTCCTGAAACGGAATTAAAGATTTGGTGGAGGATTAGACATTTGTGCCAACTACTCCCAAATGAGTAGTTACATACATTGATGCCCTGAGATTGAGAATCCTCTCTAGGATATGGCGCATTGGCTTCGGCATAAGTTCTGGATCGACCAAATTTTGTTGTATAATAATTCAATACACCATATTTATTGTTGGAAAAATTTCAAATTCTTTCAATTTGACTCAATATCTTGAATCAGTTGTTCTACATAAATTTATTAGATAATTATAAGATAAAATTTGCTTTCGCAATAGTTAAATTTATTTATAAAAATGCATGCATATTTTTTTTGTAATGTATGGACTACAACGATTCGATTCACATCATGTCGCATAAACAAGTCGACTCGAAACCCCCTATACACCTTGACATTATTAAACCTACTACTTTTTTTTTATCTAATCATGATCCTTGCATTTTATTCATATTTTTCATGCGCTACTGGGGTTTGTTAGTCGCTCGGTTCCATTATAACTGCAACATTTTATCCAGTTATCAGTTAATCATTAAGTAGTTTGTGATTTCAGTTTGACTCGTTGCTTATGTTGTGAACGAGAGAGGAAAACAAAGAGAAGAAGGAAAGAGTGACGAGTGTGAATTGAGTTGGAGGAAAGACGAAGAGGGTCTCGCCCAAAAAAAAAGACGAAGAGGGTCAAAGGGGAAGGCGATTATTTGTTAGAGAGTTTGATTTGGAGGGACGTCGTCGTTTTTGGGGAGAGAAAAATACATATTTATACTCGGTTAGATTTCAGTTTAGCTGTTAAGTGACCATTCAGTTATTGGTTACATGAAAGTCATATTAGCTTAGTGATAAGGGTGGAGTTTCGGTTACCAGTTACCGGTTAACGGGCTGGTTATTCACAAACCGATAACCGAAATTCAATCGGTGTTCGGAGGCTAGCATAGATGGTTTTGGTTTTGGAGGTGGTTCGGTTAACCAAAAACCGAGATAACTGTAGCCTAAATCCCTATTTCGGTCGGTTGTCGGTAAGAGGGGCTGGCAGTTCGGTTAACCGATATTCGTTCGATCGATTATCAGTTATAACTGAACTAACCAAAACTCCACCCCTACTTAGTGATAACTGCACCGTTAACTTATAGTTGGTTACCGATACCGTTAACTGTCGATTATGGTTAATCCACTATTAACTAGCCGGATATCCCCTCTATGTGCTCCATACTAATTTTGGTCGTGAGTACATATCCAACTTGTTCATTATACCCACCTCTAATATTACTAGTGACCAGGACAAAGAGCAGATGGAAGACATTCTATAATTTGGGGTGGAACATGAGAGGCTAGCATCATCTAGGGTACCATCCCCAATAGTTAAAAGGAGAAAAGAATAAAAAACAGTCGTCCCCTATCGGCTGGCTTGCTTGCTTGCTTCATGATTCCAACATCTTAAATGCACACAAGAGAGTTACAGAGAGAGAGTTACACAGAGAGAGAGTTATTTAACACCAATTTGTTTTTTTATTTTATAAATTTTACTAAAGTTTATAACGAGAATCTAATGGCGAAAGAATCAAAGTAATACCTCAATGGATTCTGTTCACGGTGTTTTCCCATGAAAGAAACTTGCAAGAATCAGACTAGGGTTCATTGGATTGATACTATGAGAACATCAATATTTATGGCATCCTCATTAGTCCACTATGATCACAATGACTATGCTTCATGAACTTTAATCACCTGTTATTACGAATAGACATCAATTTATCATATATGATAACTCGAATGGTTGAGAGAATTTCAAACTCCTCCCACAATTTCTTCCATGACCCAAAACTCAAGAGGCACTACCCGTCGGCGGTTTTGGACCAGGCCCGATTTGATATTTGGAGAAAGTTATAATGGCTGTAGAGTGGCGCGAACGGTCCCCCCCCCCTCCCTCTTCCAGAAATACAAAAGGACCTCAACGGCCCGGCCCCCTTCATTAAAAACCCTGGTCCCTGCGGTTTTCTTCACAACTGCTAGTAGGGATGGCAACAAAACCCGAACCCACAGGTACCCACCCGACCCAACCCGGTCAACGCGGGTAAAACCCGTGTTGACGGGTTTTGGGCCGGGTTTAGGTTTAAACCCGCTACACTATTCATCGGGTCGGGTTGGGTTTGGGTTTAGGTAAACCCGCCCCATGGGTACCCGCCCACACACATATAATTACTTTCCCGGTATATTTAATATTCTAAATAATATATCTTCCTTAAACAATTAATATTCTTTATGTTTGTGGAGACATGTATAATTTGTTCTTTCTAATTGTTTAGAATGAAGTTGATATTATGAAGTGGTGAGTGAAGAAACTTAGTTGACGAGGAAGAAACTTTCAATTAATCTTATTGTTTATAGATGTTTATCTTTAATTTTGAACAATTTGTATTGATCATTTGCGGGTTGCTTGTATGCTCTAGATTGCTGTTTTTTGTATGAATAATTTGTATGAGAAAATTGCTGTAACTTTTATTTTGAAAGAAACTTGTTATTGTAAATTTTTTACCACAAAACCCATGAACTCGTGGATACCCAGTGGGTTGGGTTGGCCGGTTGGGTTTGTGTTTTTCAAACCCAGCGGGTTTTACCCCGGATTTTTGTGGCGGATAAACTCATGGGTTTGGGTTTGACAAAACCCGCCCCAACCCGACCCATTGCCATCCCTAGCTGCTAGCAGTACAATCGTTTCCCCCTCTCTCTTCCTCTGGTTTGTTGGCTCCAAGCAACGCACAGCAGCGAAGCTAACTCCTCATCAACTCCCTCTGTCTTTTATCACTAGAGAGAGAAAGAGATCCAAAAAGGAAAGCAGCGCCAGAAACCCACATGTTGCAGAATCATCAAGTAGCCATTCCCCCTCCCTTCACCATTAATTTCCCCGTCTGGCAAATTTTTCGTTTCAAATTGAACACCAAAAAGGAAAAAATGTTTTGACAGAGGAAATTTAAGGCATAGGGAATATTATGGAGGAGGTTGTGGGTGGTCTCGTGGATTGCCCTTCATTCAATGCTCTCTCTTTTATGCTTTTTTTTTTGGGTAGTTGAGATATGTTTTTAATGCTCTTCTCCCTTCCCTCAACAGTTTAAAAAGGCCGCTTCTTAATTCCCTCTACCTCTCTCTCCAAAGTCCCATTGGCCATTTTTCTCCCTTCTCCGTTGTTTGCTTCTCTGTTTCTGGGTTTGAAGTTCTTCGTTTTCTGATGTGAAAGTGGTTCAGTGTGGTATAGGCGCGGTTCACTCAGACGGATAAACCGCGCGCAAAACTCCCGTAATCGCGTGTATTTCTTTTTTGGGTCGGACCATTTTGATTGAGCTGTGCCAATATCTCAATGCTTCTTTTATCGTGGGTCTTTTCGCTGGTTCCTTTTGCGATCACTTATCTTTGAAGCAAGTTACTCTGCTTTTATGGCTTACTCTGTTTTCTTCCTGATCTGATTTCCGTTCGGTGTTCTTCAGGTTTCCCGCGCATGTTTCAGGATTCCTGGCAGGAGTTTTTGTTGCTCGCAAAGCGGCGACGTATGCTACATAAGCTGCTGGGGAATTTTGTCTTCAATCAAATGGAAGAACAAAGTAATGATAGTGTGTTTGCCTATGATTGTTTGGAACAAGGTATATAATAGAGTATTATTATCCTACACGAATTTAATTAATTCCGAATTATAGTAGACAACTAGACATACTAAATCTCACTAGTATTTTTTGTACAATAGCGAGACTGAGATAGTTAGGCATTGTGACCAAATCGACATATGATTCAACTTAATTATTTGTTATTGTGTGACCGATTCCAATGTTATAGCTTGTTGCTTTCCAACTAGAACAATTGTAGATGTTGGGCATGTGACTCGGATCTCACCCCACTAAAGAAACACCAAGGATACTCACGCCAAGGCAAAGCGCGCGAGTCACATCGGCGTCAAGCGCGCGAGTCGCGGCGGAATCAAGCGCGCGAGTCGCGCCGGAATCAAGCGCGCAGGTAAAGACCACCCCCGTAGAGGCGCGCGTAAACACTAAACGACGGCGCGTTGCACAGGCGTGGACCATTATCGAGAAGCCGTAGAAGCGGCGCCGCATCATCCAACGGGCAGTCACTATCATAGTCCTAGGTATAGTCCTGCCTATGTCAGGAGTAGTCACATCAGGGTCCTAAAAGTATGGCCTAAATCCCTGGCATGTCAGTAGTCAC